AGTGATTCTGTCATGTACTGACGCCATTACAGGCATTTTGCACACATACAGCTATCGATCAATGGCTTTCAATGGCTCTGAGCTTGAAAGAGGATGATGGAAACGTGGGGGGGTTCTGTTCGAAACACAACAAAAGATGCACAAATAGATCAGCGGGAGAGGAAACTCCGATATAGCCCAGTGTCAAAGGTCCAAATGAAATCAGGTGGTTGGAATCAATGGTGGTCTGTGTTTGAATGCTCCAGAGGACAGAGCAGGAAGTGTGAATGGGAGAAAAACATGCCTTTATGAATGATGTCATTGAAACGGGACGGAGCGAGATGCCACTCTCGGAGAAGATGGCTTTTACAGTAATAGATGAGAATTCAATGCACTATTTCAGCTCTAATAAAAACGCCGCACTCCAAAAGACAGGAGAGCGAAATGCACACAATGCACCGCAGGAGAACATCTATCTCTCTCCAGTCACGCCAAATGACACCAACATATGAAATGTGTAAAACATGTGAGAACTACAATTCTCATGCTCACTCTAATAAAGAAAATATTAAACATCATTCTCTCTCAACCTTAGTCAAGCACTCTCCTGCCTCTAGCACATTATTTTAATTTGACTGGTTATTATACTCATGCATATATTTATATATTTAGAGGGGAGGGGGGGGATATGAATTGGTCGTGGGTAGGTTTTTTTTCCTACTTTGATCTCAAACAGAGTTCAAATAAAATATTTTCAACCTTTGTCTATGTTGAGAAAGTACTCAGAAATAGAAGTGTACGCTGAGTACATTTATTTGGATTATCAGCATTCCACTAGAGATAAGAACAAAGGCACATGGAGGTTTACAGTCTTGTTCAAGGTTTTTAAATTCAGAATTAATAATAAGCTGCTGCTAATTTGACTCTGCTTTTGATCCTGGTGAAGTAATTATTTTTGTTCTTATGAACAACTTTGTCTGTCATTTGCATGAGATAATAATAATAGCAAAAAACATATATATATATATATATATAAAAAGAAAAACAAAAGTTACCTATGTTTTTCTCTAAAGCAACATTGTTCTGCCAGTTCAAAAGTCACTGCAATATATAGGTGGCTGTCAGGGCATTGGTGTGCAGTTGCTAAGGTGTTGCTCAATACTCATTGGTCAAATTCAAAAGATCCCACCCACAAATCACATTATGATATTCTGGTTTATAGAATTGGATTGGGTCCCTCCTGCAATGGAAATCTAGCAGATTTTTTTCCAGGAATTAAAATCAAACTGAAGGCTTTTAAGACATTTTCGAGATGTGCACAAATAAAATTACTGTTAATGACTGTAAAAACAATGATTTAAACAACATTACGGACCAAATAATACAAATTAATACGCAATTCTTGTTTTTTTTCTTTACAATTCAAGATCTCTTAAAATGATAATTATGACTTTTCTTATACCATTTAGGATATTCAAGAGTTTTTATGACTTTTTAAGGACCCACATAGACTCTGTTTGATGAACTGCCAGGCAGGGTCATTATAGTTAAGTAAAAAAAAAATCTTTACTTGAAATAAAATAAACATTAACTGAAATAAAATATAAACAACTTTACTCATTTGAATTAATGTGATGTACAAAAATAACTAAAACTGAAATAAACAATTATGAAAACATATATTAATAAATGACTAAAAGCGACAAAACAAATTACTAAAACTTTAACTAAAACTGATTCAAATTTGTAATACAAACTATAACAATATCTCAGTGATACTAAAATAAGATCTAGCTCACTTCTCCTCAATAAGTCAAACAATTTCAAGTACTGTACCACTCATGTGTGTAGTACAAACTGTGTGGGACAAGTTACATGCAACAGTTTTAATGCTAAATATTCCTGATTTTTATTAAAAAATGTTATTAATATTTTAAATTAATTTTAAAGCCATTTTAAATGTTGCAGATATATAGACATGAGTATAAGGATAGTCAAGGGCAGATTTTCATCAAGTCATTTGTCATTTGGCGACATCTATTTAAGTGCGTGACAAGTGCTGACATGCACACCAAAGGACGACTTCATCACATTTGTAAACATCAGATCATCGCTTCTTTTTTGGAGACTGGCATTTTCAAGTCTGTGTCTTCTCGTAAATCAAATCAACGTCAGTTCCAACATATCATGCCACGTCTCTCTCCAAGGCCAGGGTGACATGAAAACAGCACGGCCTGTGATGTGAGCACCAGGCTACGGGTGACCGTTAAGTGCCTGCACACATGTAAATCAAGCAAATCCTTCCCCTACCTCCAGATCCCAGGAGAGGAGTTTGACCGCTGTGCCTAGCGGTAGAAGAGCAGCACAGCGAGGTCATTTGGATGCACAGCCGTCTAACAGCAATAACAGGCCCACGTTCCTCCGAGAGCCATCAGGATCAGCAAAGGCTTAGCGGTGGAAGCCTGTAACAACACAGCTCTGTCTCTGTGCATCTAAGAAGAGTGAAGAACAATGTAGCCTCATATTGCTTCACCTTGAACACGCAAGACCCCAGCAGACTACAGGCTGATGAATAATTCTCATTTGAGCATGCATTTTTTATTTTGCACAGATACAAGAGTATCTCATTAACTGTCAACAGACAAACAACATGTGTAAGATCTGAAAATCCAAATGAGACCTGTAGAAAAATGGGCATTTGAATTATTAGTGCTATGGTTGGCATCAAAAACGATGCATTAGAATGGAAGACAATTTTCGAAATAGCTTTATGCAAGTCAAGAAGCATCACAATTGGTTTACAATCTTCCTTTTGCTCAGTTCACTTCCCTCATTTAGGGCGACTGAGTCATTTTATTATTGATTAGACCAAAAGAGCTCCGGGTCCTGCAGTATTGAACCTCAGATTGTAATTTGCTCGTAATGTGGAGAAGGGGAATATGCAAATAAAGTCTGAGTATTTTGTGTTTGCAGTTTTGCCCCTGGGCAGCTTGTCCCGTGACACAAATCATCAATTAAGATCCCAGCAGGGATCTCGGCATTTAAATTAGTTTAAAACCCAACATGAATGTCGACTCAAAATTACCACCACATTTCACAAGTCCAAACAAAATCATCCAGAAAGACTCTTCTGCTCTCCCCAAACTGCACGGCATCTTCTCCCGTCTTTCCTCTCTTCCTCCCTCCTTCTATCGCACTCTTTCTCTTCCTCCTCCTCCTCCTCCTCCCTCCCGCGCGCGCTCTCTCTCTCTCTCTCTCTCTTTCCCTCACTTTCTCTCTCTGTCTATCATTCTCTCCCCTCAGCCCTCGGCCAGTCTGTATGAATAATGTCCTGCCTTTTGTAATGAGAGCGCGAGGGAGGAAAAACACGCTGGAGTGTTCGCCCGCTCCGCGCTCTGACATTGAAAATGAATGACAGCTTACCTGAATGCCAATCTTCATCAGACTGACACCAGGCTGACAACACAGCCTATACTCCCCTACACCAGCCGTGACGTCTGCCATATCAGACCCCTCCCACCATCTCCCCCCTCCTCTCTCTCTCTCCCCGTACCCCTCGCTGCCGAGTGTACACCTCCGCGGTTCCTCTTCCACTGGCGTTATTCCGTGCAGCCCGTACCGAACACCCCGGGCCCTGCACGCGCATCTCCGGTTCATTAGCGGCGGTGCCGGGCGCTGGCCCCCTATCGGCATTAAACGAGACTTACGTTCGGCTGCAGGTCGCCTTGGCTGTTCGCCTGGTCGGAAAGCAGAGGAAACCTATTTATGTGTGCCACAAGAAACGAGAAAATGTGCCACTTGGTCAAATCCCAAATGTATGTTTAGTTAGTTATATAGAAACTTAACCCATAGGTTACAAGCAAAGTCACGACTGAGAAAGACTAATCTAGATCAAATATGCTAGGGGTATTTTTTTTTTTTTAGGACCCCAGTATAAATTTAAAACGGCTTGTACATTTTCCTGTATAAGGCCCACGCAATATTACTAAAACAACAGGTTATTAACATGAATTGTCTTTTATACTGTCATTGTACTGTAGCCAAATACAATATAACCAAAATACTATATGAAAAAATTAGTACTGTCAAACGATTAATTGCATCTAAAATAAAAGTTTTTGTTTACATAATAGGCTATATGTGTGTATTGTGTATATTTATTATGTATATATAAATACACACACATTAATGTATATATTTAAGAAAAATATGTTATTTATTAAATATATTTAAATATGGTATAAATTATATGAACATAAATATATACATGTCAATATTTTTTTAATATATGCTGTATGTGTGTATTTATATATACATAAATTAAATATAAAATAAACTTTTATTTGATGCGATTAATCGCTATTAATTATTTGACAGCACTAGAAAAAATATATTCAAATGAAGATAGTAATAATAATGGATGTAGGCCTGCATTTGCGCACCACAGACAGACAGACAGACAGACAGACAGACAGACAGACAGACAGACAGACAGACAGACAGATAGACAGATAGATAGATAGATAGATAGATAGATAGATAGATAGATAGATAGATAGATAGATAGATAGATAGATAGTAAATAATTTATACGCACTACGTATGCTCAGTGTTCACATAAACTACAACTCCCAGCACTGTTCGCTAGATACTGCAACCTGATTGGTCTATTCGCGACACAGGAAGTGTGGAGGTAAACAGAAGAGATGGTGTTTCCATGGAAATATTTCATACTTTATGCAGCGTGTATCAACTACGCAGTTGGTTCCAGCATTCGGTTGTTTTATGAGGTAAATGTACAAACTGTTCAGTGTTTAGAGTAGCCGTTAAAGGTCTACAATTGATTCGTTTGCTGGCTTAAGCATTCATTTTTGATGAACTGCACGCTTCCCATCGTTTACTTCCTAATTATGCCAGTTGAATTGAGTTAAAAAAAAACAGTAAATGTCTAGGAATAGCAGCCAGACGAAGATACACGCGCCACATGGTTTGCGTTCATAACATCAGCTTGATATACTTACAGTGGATTTAGCGCATGCATCCATCATATCACGCTTCCTAAACAAGACATTCTCTCGTCCAGCTACAGGCAGTGTGGGCCCCAAACAGGAGCTCACTGCCGTGCATTCGAAGCCACATTAATAAAACATGGCCTCTGCTCTGTGCTTTGCTAGCCGGCTAATTGGCAAATTAGAAAGTGAGATGCGTTAAACAAGAGAACACTGCATTCGCCTGAGACAGAGCCCCCTCCCACATACACAAGCACAGACACACACAAAGACATCTCTCTGTCTGAAGTTTAATGTAGGTTGTGGCCTCCCATGGTTTAGGCCTCATAATCTAGTTGAGGTCTGTAGGGACGTAGGGTGCTGTTAGTATTCAACACTATCACCCTGTTCAGCTTTAATTCATGGAAGAAAAACAGACAGCAGAATAAAAAATAATGGCAAGAAAGAAGTGTTTTTCTGATGTATGATAAAATAAAGGTAAATCCTGCGATATAAATAAAAACAAAATCATATCACATATAAACTATCTAGCTTACATTACTTAAATATTTTATATTTGTAGTGTATGTGTATTATATATATATATATATATATATTTGTATTTATATATATATATATATATATATATATATATATATATTATTGCTGGGCAACGATTAATCGCAACCAAAATAAAAGTATTTGTGTGTGTACTACTGTGTATATTTATTATGTATATACAACTACACACACATGCATGTGTATATATTTAAGATGTTATGATAATATATTAAATATTGATATATACAGGTGCATCTCAATAAATTAGAATGTCGTGGAAAAGTTCATTTATTTCAGTAATTCAACTCAAATTGTGAAACTCGTGTATTAAATAAATTCAATGCACACAGACTGAAGTAGTTTAAGTCTTTGGTTCTTTTAATTGTGATGATTTTGGCTCACATTTAACAAAAACCCACCAATTCACTATCTCAACAAATTAGAATATGGTGACATGCCAAGCAGCTAATCAACTCAAAACACCTGCAAAGGTTTCCTGAGCCTTCAAAATGGTCTCTCAGTTTGGTTCACTAGGCTACACAATCATGGGGAAGACTGCTGATCTGACAGTTGTCCAGAAGACAATCATTGACACCCTTCACAAGGAGGGTAAGCCACAAACATTCATTGCCAAAGAAGCTGGCTGTTCACAGAGTGCTGTATCCAAGCATGTTAACAGAAAGTTGAGTGGAAGGAAAAAGTGTGGAAGAAAAAATGCACAACCAACCGAGAGAACCGCAGCCTTATGAGGATTGTCAAGCAAAATCAATTCAAGAATTTGAGTGAACTTCACTGAAACACAGGCCGTTTTACCTGGGCTAAGGAGAAGAAGAACTGGACTGTTGCCCAGTGGTCCAAAAGTCCTCTTTTCAGCTTTTCAGATTTTTGTATTTCATTTGGAAACCAAGGTCCTAGAGTCTGGAGGAAGGGTGGAGAAGCTCATAGCCCAAGTTGCTTGAAGTCCAGTGTTAAGTTTCCACAGTCTGTGATGACTGCAATGTCATCTGCTGGTGTTGGTCCATTGTGGTTTTTGAAAAGCAACGTCACTGCACCCGTTTACCAAGAAATTTTGGAGAACTTCAT